TGTAATCTCTTAAGTACCTAAAATAACTATTTTTTTCTTAATGGAATTAATTWCATTGGTCCTGTAAAATACTTCAGTTGCTTTGGGAAAACGTGGACACTTGCAATTGATTTTTTCATAAATATGGGACAGTCCCTGTGACAAATGAAGATATTGTATATTAGAGAGTAAGGTACAGCATCTTTTTTTCAGTTAGTCKAACTTAAAAGAACAGTAATATCCTCTGACGGTCATCTCCTTTATGAAGAAAATCTCAACAGACGAATATTCTCAGTCTTTTTGTAAGTAAKGCATGAGCCACCGGCATCGGGGACTCATCAGGGAGCAAGAGGAGGGAAGTCTTCTTAGCCACATAMGTAAGATGGTATTTGTGATACTCTTATTTATGTTATTTGTGATGTCAGAATTTAATGAAAGATAAATACATAACATCATACTTTTGGCAGTGCAAACTATGTCATCTGTAGCCTTAATCAGCAGCCAAATGCTCACCCAGCTACTTGCCAACTACCACACTGAACAGGACAAAAGTGGAAAGTAGGGATAAAAAAAATCTCAGGAATTAAAACCAAGAAAGGGAGATTGCTTAACAGATACCTTCATAGGCAGGAGACTCAACTTGGGGCAAATTAAAACAATTTATTGCCAATTAATATAGATTTGAATAGTGAGAAGCTTCTGACACTTCCTTCTCCTGCTTCGTTGCTGAAAGACCATCTTCCTGACCAGAATCTTCTTCCTCCCTCACTAAATGCTGTGATAGACCTGTCAATTTCTGCTACCACTTTTTGACAACTGGGGTGATTAGTGAAGATAGGGTTTGGTTCTCTGCCTTAGCCAGGGYGTCCTAAAGTGCAGAGGCTCTCCTTCCTCTGCTGTGATGGAGCTGAACAAAGGCTCCACAGTCTCAGCACTAAGGAACTGACTGGGGTAGGTGAAGCATTCTTCTGTCAAGTAGGGTACCAATTGATAGGGATTACATGTCTGTTCTGCCATTAAAATTCTAGGCTCTGGAAGGTGATAGCTGCCCTAGGCAACTGCCATAATCCTTCCACACACCCTGCTGCCCAGAGATTGACCACATCAGGTCACATTTCTCTGTCAACTCACCAACAAGTTGTTTACTCCTTCACTTGCATGCAATCAAGTTCCACATATCCAGTAATGTCAGATAATAAGACCAAACAGCTTACAGTGCTATTGTCTTGTCAATATTTTTTAAAGTGTGAATTGAAATGCCAAAATCATTATTAATATTGGCTTTTGAAAAGAGGGCAGTCAAAAACAGTTCACCTTATTATGCATCCTGAAAGCTCTGTCATTGTATGCCAAAAGAGTTTTATTAGATACATAGAAAGAATAGGCTTGCCCTCTGTAATGCCCTGGGTTGACAACAGAGAACCCAACCACACCTTCTGTGACAAGCATTCAAACTTTCAGAAGAGATCTGACACTTAAAATGTATAGTTCTAGAACAGCCCATTTAKCAATATTAATGGAAATCATAAAGCATCACAAGCCTACAGAAGTAAAGCAGTACATGGTCCATTACAAAGTTCTGTGCTGAAAAACAGCATGTGCACCAATATATCCCTTTCTTCATAAAGTTCCTCATACTTTTACACACACCATTGAGTGTAGGAGTTTAAGAGAACAAATCGTGAAAGAGCATTTTAATTGCCATCCATTTATCTACAATTTGTCTTCTTCAATGACTCCAGAGTATCTCTTAAAATTGTTTATTTTGTCTTTCATTTGCTTTGCATTACCCACACARATGCTGAAGTCAGTTACATGACTTCTCTTAATGCACAATCCCAGAGGATATATCGGAGATTCATCCATCTTGCAGGATTTGTACTAGATCTAATTGATGCTTATTAAGTAATATAAAACCAAGTGGCCGGCATTAACATGATTAGACACAGGAGGTTGAGCATCTTCCTATGTAATCTCTTCACATCAAAACTAATTTCTGCTAAAAGAGCTATCACCTGAAGTCCCATAAGAGTACAGTTAATTTTTTAGCATAATTTTTGCCTTTGCTTATTCCAGTTCTATTCTAATATTTATTTTTATACAAAGAGTCATGATCAAGTTTTGCCTTCTTTCCCTTTTATTATCAGTCCCTTTTAAGATTTGTCATCATGATTTTATAGTTTAATAAATTTTCTCACTGATTCTTGGCCACATTTYAACACTTATCGATTTCAGAATATCTGCCATTCTGCCTCAGGCAGGATTGTAACCTCTTCCATTGTACTGTCTTAATTAYAGCTTCCCTCTAGATTCAGAAAGAGGAATTCCCTTCCCTCTCACTAAAATAACAGACTCCCACTTCCAGCAGTAAAGGAGACTGAACTTCAGATTAAACAGAAATCAAATATACTTCCCAGCTCTCTTTCCGACAGCATGAATCTAGTTAAACTGAACTGTTCCTGTCTGCTTTGATAAATAGCAGCATGAGGATGCAGCAGGAAGAGAACTATTTAGCCAGGTGTTCCTTTGCAAAGGCTTCCTCTTTACAGTGAGTCAGAGCAGAGTATGGAGCTGATAAAATGTAACTGAAAACAAACCTGTGGGTAAACGAAAGGCTTTGTTTAGCTCATTATGGAAAAAAAAATAAAAAAAAAMCAAACTTGATTTCACATTCACTCCCACTTCCCTCAATTAAAAGAATGTTCTTAAAAGGCTCTTAGTTTTTTGCTTAGCTGGGTCTTCAATAGAAGAGACTAAATAGCACATCAAAGTAACGTTAATGTGTGCCTTGGTTCCTGTTTGTGTATAGATGACCAAATTCATAGCACTGCAGTTTCACTGCAACTTTCTTATTCACAAGTCTGCTAAATTTGCCAGTTTTTAAAATCACATAATTAGGACAATTCACAGAAAACTTATTTTCCTTTAGTTCTGCAAGCACATAAGAACATGCAAGCCCTGTAATACTTTTTATTTCAACCAGCTGTTGTGCACAATCCAGACTATGCAAAGCAATAACCAGCCTGTTTTTCAACTGATAGACCCTAAAAAGGAGTCTCCCATACTCAATTACCAGCATGAAAGAAGGATATGTGAAAATCTACCTGAAAAATATATAGCGATTTCCAAAGAAATTCCATTATTATCATTTAATAGGCAAACATTTCTGACAAAAACATCAGAATTACACTGTTTGACAAATTCAAAGACAAACTACTGAACTACATGGAYTTGCATTATGTTTGGTAAGGGCTTGAAGTCAAAATTTAGAGCTGAAATGTTCTGCTCATCCAAGGAGTAGGGGGTCAAGTGGTCTAATAGGAAACCAAGGTTTGTGGCTTTATGTAGGAGGTTTAATTTCTTTGGTTCTCTGTCTGACAGCACTAAGAACAAGCACCAAAATCAGCAAACAATGAGACACAGCTACAGAGACAACACACAAAGAAAGCACAACACTRCCTACAGCTGCAGGGCATTTACTAAAAGACCTGGGATGCTGTCACTGAGATGAATTTTATTCTGTTCAATTATTCCTATTCACTGAAAACCGATACTTAATACCTGTCACTCCTGAAGCCTTCCATGATTAATTTCAATTGATGCAAACAAAACGATGCATGTGAACCCCACATGCACAACGTAGAAGATACAATTTTCAATACAGCCTTACTCTTTGTTTCATTTTAGTGCTGATGACTCTCCAAACATGCTGTATCATACCTTCATAACTTTCTAGAGATACAACCTCAACTACAAATAGATTGCAAACAAAGACTGCAAAACAAAACTTGATGAGAGTGACTGATTGCTTTCAGACTATTCCTTAGGCCAGATTAACTGTATGACTTATAGAAATCATAACTGTGGATTTTGAGGAGCAATACCAGGAGAAGACAATGCCATAGCACAGAGAAAAAGGAGAGAATCCCAGTCACAATGACAGACACAAAGATTTTAGGGAAAGAATGAGACAAAAAACTCTGGTAAGATCAGAAGAAGCTAAGTGGGTGTGGAAACAGCTATCAAAGATCTTGTAGGAATTGATTTAAATATTCCTCAAGGAATGTTAGTATTATAAATATGAAAGAAACAGAGYAAATAGAAGGATTAAAGGACGTATTATCAATCTAACAAAGAAGACAGAAACTATCCATCCTCATCATTTGAGCTAAGTTCATTAAGACAAAAAAGACAGAAAAAGACATATCAAAAATCAAGGTGAAAATCAAAGAAGGCTCAAAGTAAGAATTATTACAAAAATGGTAATGTGGATAAGGTACATGATAGAACTAAAATGACCATATTTCAGTGAATACCTACAAAGAKAAACTGTAGTAGAACAAAGCAAGCATTCTCATTTTGATTAAAATGGCCTTTTTCTGTCTAACACACATCTGCACTGCTACTATGACAATATGAAAACACACATACATATTCATTTAGCCATCAGCAAGTCTGATGTTTTAAAAACAAAACCAGCCTGCATAATGTCAGTGCCCCATGTTTCAACAGCAAAGAACACAGTAAAGTGTACAACTGAGAATGTCAGGTTGTAATCATAAGACTGAAAAACAGTTCCAACTTGATAATTTGGGATTTCAAATTATGAGGAGCCATCTTTAGCTAAAGACATGAAATTTTGTCACCCATCACACTTCCAGATCACATTTTAAAACCAGAATTCTTCACTCCCTAGTTCAGGTCTTAAAATTTTTTCTATGACACATTCCTCTAGAAAGTGCAAAAGMACAAAAGCATTAATGTCATACATCCATAGACCCATATAAGAGTTAGAAATTAACATTTACTTCAGCAAAAGCTATCACCAATGATCAAGCTGGCATATGTCTTCATATCTCCTTTCTGAGACTCTGATCTATCATCCTGCCTCTTCTTTGCATTCCTTAGACGAGTAAATATGAAAATTACAGGTAGCCTAAGCTGCACAGTTCTGAAACACAAGGCCTGCCTACAGGACAAGAGGAAGAGGAAAGGCAGAGAAATCACTCTCAGAGMCTTACCTTCCAATTAACAGGAACTCCCCAAGCACTCCCAGGCGCCTCATGGCAATGAGGATCCCCCTCACCGTCATTCCCTCGCAGAAGCAAACCACCACTCTAGCCTTGGGTAACCTCTCTCGCAGCTTGCGGAGCAGGCGATCAAAGCTCTTTTCSCCAGCGTTGCTGTAGATCTTGTCAGAGTGAGCAATGCAGAGACCCTCTTGGGCAGCCAACTCTTTGAAGGCTTCCATTCCACTTTCCCCATAATTTCCTGGGGAAAAAAAAAATAGGTTATATCATGCATTTAATCAATTGGACCATGGTGGGAGAGTGACAGCTTCCCCCCAACCCCYAAAATCAAGAAGGATTTGCAGAAGGAACAGCAAAGGAGATCCATCCAAGTGAACATGCTCAGAGTTCAGCAGAGCAACAGGATATCCATGCATCAGTAGGTCTTAAGAGAACCRGTGAATGCAAGTTTCTTTAATTGACTTAACAATGGAGAGTAAAGGGGTTATTAAACAAGGGATGGACAGATAGAAAACAGAACAGATCGGCCAGTAAGAGTGAAGTTTTATTAACATTTATATAGCAAAACCCACAGTTAAGCTAGTTTAGGAAAACATTCATAGGAAAGAGAAAAATTATTTCATTCCAAAATGTCTGTATCACATGCAGTCCATGTTCACAAAAGTGAATGAAAATGAATGCAAATGTAAAACACACTGATCTGGTAACATTTTCAAAGTCAATTATACTAATTTAACTGAGCAGTGTACATGACAACTAAAACTAGGCTTGATGATGTCTCTCTTAGAATAGGAGACTTTCTATCTGAAAGAACTTCAGAAAAAACCCTTTCCAAGGCTGAAATATTTGAACTGTGTGGTCCAAACTATTTACAAAATACATAAACTATATAAAAAATGATTGTCAAATTCATTTCTGTTTATACATTTAGCAAGCCAAAACACGAACTGCCTTCTGCTATGGAGACAGGTTAAGCCTCAATATTTATTTTAATATTTTACGCCTGACATGAACACAGGCCTTATGATGAACATCCGCCATGCAAGAGGAACAGATGGATTTTAAAAAACATGTCTACTAACAGTAACAAGAAATGGCTCAAAAAGAGAATCATTAATTTGATGCTATCTATGTCCATAATGTTTCTTTGATTTAAGGAGGGAGTAAAATCAGATATGGTGATCACTTCTAGACCCAGACTTTTTCAAGCAAGGGGTGACTGAAACTTCTCTCTTCCCTGTTTCCAGCAACAGCTGGAAATAACAAAAAGAGGAAGGTTTCTGAATCAGCCTAAGTGTCTTTTAAAAAAATTAAAACTCCTCCTCAAAAGTATAGCCATCAAAAAGAAAATGCAGCAAGAGACAGTTCAGACATTCTGTATAAATCCAGTAGAAATAAGAGCGTTTTGTCAGAACCATGCAGCATTTGCCACAGATCAACACTACGTAGACACACCGTGACAGTCACTGTCATACTAAGTTGCAGACAATCCTGACAGGTCTAGTGTCAAACACAAAACTGAAGTTCCCCAGCCCTTTGCACTGAACTGCCCTAGTTTCTCATAAATTTGAAGTGCAGCAGAATGGCCTCTTTTCTAGCCTGTGWCTCAACATCACACTCAGCAATCAGGTCAATTCTGCTATTTTTCTGTGAGCCAGACATACTCCAGAGCTGCATTCCTGCATGGATGTGGGGAGAAGAAGAGAGAGGAAGATCTGTGCCTGGTGGAAACTCACCAGCAAGCAGTCCACCCCGCAAACTCAGCACTGCAGCCCCATCCCACAACCCTGTACTGTGGGTAAAYACTGTGGCCTTGTCCTATGCTGAGAATGGCACAGATGGAGGCATTTCTAGGTATTTATAGGCTATGACCTGCAGTCACTACGGGATTTATTCCAAAGCAATACAGTTTGAGCCATACGGCTTTGATGACTTGCCTCAGGTCTCAGATTGAGGCAGGATGACCTCAYCACTGACTTGCAATCAGCAAGCACATTATACTTAGGAAGGATATATTTCCCAATTTCATGTGGAACTTTGTTCAACACAGACTCCCTTGAAACCAGGATTGTTCTGAAAGTCTTACCTAAGAAGGGACAGGAGACTAAACTGAATCTTATTAGATATTTAGGCAATGCRTACTATAAAAAAATAGTAGATTTCTTATTCAAATTTTAAGGTAGGATTTCATTTTACATCAGACCAGCACTAATTCTACTGTACTTCAAGTTAATGATTTTAACAAATAAAAAATTAAATCCACTTGGAAAGATTTTCCTCAGTTTTAATTTTGATGAAGTAACAATTATCTCAAACACAGTCAGACTCGTACTAGCAGTACAACAGCTTACCAAAACATATGCTAAGAGAAAGACTGGTGTCTATAAATTCAGTAAGTGCGACAGAGAGTCTAGAAGGAAAAAAGCTAATTAAGATCAAGAACAACATGGACACAAGATGGAATAGGCACAAAACAAGGCAGAGAATCTGCAGCTGAAAATGAAAGATTTCCAATCCTTATATGAAAGCAGTATAACAGCTCTCCAATATCAGCACAAAGAAATCTGATTTGGACTGCAGTTTGCTCAGCTAACAAGAGCATTATGAAAAGTAGGTTTCTGCAGCAGTCAGAGACGAGACTTGGTGACCCAAGAGGTTCTCTTAAAATCTGTTTGCCACGCTCCCAGAGCGAGACAGCATGCTGCACATCTTTCCCCTTCAKGGAAAAAAGATCAAGGAGAAAAGGAATGTGTGACATATGTAACATACATCGTTCAATGCACTCAGCTACCAGGGTATGGACAATGTAAGGGCRTATATGGAATAGAAAACACCAATCAGTTCTGTGCAAAACCCAAGAACATAGCCATCTGTACAGCTTGGCGGGTACATYCATTTCAATCCACACACTGACAACAGCTGAGAGGCGAAACATGTAATGAAAGAAATCTCTGCCTGATTGTATTCAGTGAAGAGTTACATCAGGACCCCAGGCTAGGACCTTTTTTGTTCTGAAAAAGCCATTGAATAAAAGATCTAATCTTATCTGAAACTGCCTTTTGCTACCAGGATCAGCTGAGAAAGGCAAAGTAATTATTAKAGTGATTTTCTTTCTGACCTCTACCCAAAACTAGATGAGCCAGTAACATACTTTGAACCCCTCAATACTTTGCGATTTTTTAACTTTTTTCGAGGTCTGTTCAACTTGTACCCTATTCAAAAAAAGTTATTTTCCTCATATGCTTCAAGCAGAGTCTGTACAGCAGTATAAAGGTAAGTTCTAAACATATAATGGCTGCAACTTTACCAAGATGATTTTCACAACACTTTTCTCTCACTGCCAAAACAAATCTTTGCTTCATCACTGCAAAAATTCTACATAAGGCCATTTCTGAGAAGGATCCGCCTATCTAAAGATGCTGCTTAGAGTTACATACAGTGCTGAGAGTTATATACAGTTCTCACCCATTGCATTCCATGCATTAAATATCTTAACAAAAGCATTAAGATACTGTAGTAAAAATCAAAGATGTTATCTTGATCAAGAGATGACATACAAAAGAAGAAACTACCAAAAATTCAGCCTTATAAATTGCTCCTGTGAGCCAGTAAGTATTACATTTGTGCCACAGCTATATTGAAACTAGCACTATTTACTTTTATTAACACTTTAGTAGTGTGGGGAGCAGAACCCATGAGCTCCATCCAATAGGCTTATATTCTTTTTTTTTTTTAATTACAGCTGTTTGGTAAATTTGTCCCCATTCTCTTTACCAAGAGAACCATTTGATTTTCATTTATGAAATGGAGCAGAAACAGCTCTACAGTGAGGTGCTTATGAGAATCCTGGAGATTGCTTTCTTAAGGGATGCGTAGAATATCTGTGTGGGTCTTCCCAAGCCACATTAGTGTGTTGTGTTTTCAGGAAGCTCAAAAACAGAACAATTTGTCCCACCAAATCTCTATCTTTGAAAAAAATCAGCCATCAATTTATTCGTGTGATAACATAAGGAAATCTGAATCATTCATATTTGTGTTGAATAGATAATTTCCTTAAAATATAGTCTAATCACTGTTTAAAAAAATCAATTTTAAAGACCATAATACTGAAGAGAAAGACTGAGACTGATCTTTCTCACTCTTCTTTCACTACCAAGTACTCTTTTAAGACCCATTTAGGGAAACACCTACAGAACCAACAAAACCCACAGCAGAGAACTCTGCTCCAATGCATTTAAAATCACAAAGCTAGGGAGCAAGAATTAGTTCACATACCTGGGCTGTGAGTAATCTCTTCAGGTGAGGTCACCTACTGCTCACCATAAGGGGCTTATGTGTAGCATTTATTACTCTAAGCCACAGGAACCACAACCACCTGATCAAAAGTGAGCACACAAAAAACCCGTACACCCTGTCAGCACACTACAAAGGTAATGCACCAAATAAGATAACCACAAAATACAGTTTCTCTGCAGGATACTACAGAGGCAAGTCATATTGCAAAAAAGTTCCCCTTTTCTAACAACAAGTGAGAATATATTTTTTGTCCTCTTCTTTCCCCTCTCAACTTCATGATCTCTTTGTTCACCTCTCCCAAGCCTGTAAATATATTGCTGGGTGTATGAAGTCTGTTTCAGTGTTCAGTACTGATTCACTGCAAGACATCTCTTTTATTCAGCTAATTAACTTCTTTTTGGTGGAGAAAATAAGAACAAGAGGACTGCATGACATAACAGCAATGAATAACTGCTCAAAATCTTCACTACTGCAAAGGCAAATWATTTGGGAAGAGCAGAGCAAGGACATGATCTGATTATCAAGTAAGTTCCCGACATATTGCAATAAATAATTTGTAAAAACTAATGATAACATTAAATAAGACAGTAACTGCACAGTTATCAAATATAAGTTTGAAAAGACTAGAAAGTTTTGGATCTCTGAAAAAAAAAAAAAAAAAAAAAAAAAAAAAAAAAGGCAAAAGGAGCATCAGTTTCCTGTCTTATAATATGGTATTCTCCCCCATGCCACCAGAGCATCTTTGAATAGGGTCAGTAAATAAAGTTGAGTTCTGTAATTTTAATGTATTTCTTATGAGTTTAATAACTATATTAAATAATCACATGTACACTCTTAGCTCATTACAAACTAAAAATATTCAACCATCAGATTTAAACTAGTATATTAGTAACAAGTTGGGAACACATGGATAATCAGCTAATGTATCTAAAATGACAGTGAATG